TGGTTTCAGAAGTGATAGAGAAAGACTTGAGATAGCTTACAGTAGCAAAATGGTTTTTGATTTGAGCGATACTGAGATCAAGTTCATATGTATCATTTAAATCTGTTCGAGCTTTGCCCCAAACCGATGGCGGAAAATTGTTATCAGATTGATCATTGTCTTGATTACCATCTAGAAGTGAGTCAAGTAGTGTGCGTGTTTGGATTTCAGTCCATTTGGCTTGAGGCTTGGGAGCTTGGGAGCTCGACTTGGGTGGTTGACCCATTGATTGAATGATTTATGTCCAGTTTGAGTTTTGAATCTGGAAGGTGAAATGTAGGAGTCAATTTGTGAATGCAAATTTGTTCAGTATTTTGGGGGTCAAGGATATCGATTGGGAGGAAACCAGTTTGAGGGAAATAGAAATGAAATTGGACACGGTGGGATGGGCTTGAATCTTATCAATCCCCATCCCAAAACCATAAGGTTAACCGTGAGGAGCTGGGGAGGTGGCAGCCTGAATCTTATCAGTGCGCTCTGATTTCCCAGCTTGAGGGATAGACTGCTGGATTAAAGAAATGGAAGGAGGGGAGATGAAAAGATCTCCTTTAATTACCCTTGAGTGAAATCGAAATGTGAAGTGTAGAAAGGAAATCGAGTGTTGAAAGGGTTGAATTGAAGGTGAAAGGTTTGGATGGGTTGAATCGAAGGGAAGTGGTGAAAGGGTTGAATCGATGAGAAGAGTGGTGAGATTTGAAAAAAAAAGACAAGTACAAATTTAGCGAAGGGAGGACCGATGGACGGGTCAAGAGGTAAATTTGGTTGGGGGATCAAGGCGATTTAATGGATTAATGCACCTTTTGAGCAAAATAATCGACTGTCGAGTCGATTATTTTTGAGTGCATTATTGGTGCATTTTGGGCAGTTTAAGTCAATTAAAAATTTGCATTAAATCCCAGCCAAAGCACTTTTTTTTTAATGCACATTAAATTCGAAATTTAATGTAATTTTGGATTTAAGGTACATTAAAATGCACCAGCCAAACGTAGCCTTATTCTTTGTTGTTAATCAACAGATATGCATTTATCAAATGTCACCAACCTGAATCGGCATGTAGGATTTGGTTTTGGGGAATATCCTTCACTCTATGAATTTAGGACTGTCATAAAGGATGCATTTTCAATTCAGGTACCAGAGTTCGCTTGAAAGTTGTGATACATACGTACATGCCTTTCAGTTCAGCCATGAATTTTGTGGGTGCTATTGGTGACATAGGATAGGATGCGATCAAAGTTCAACATTAACAAGGATGAGATAAACACAATGGTAGGTCCGAGAATGGAGAAGTCTCAAAAGAAGTGGTAAAAAGGATGAGATTCAACATAGGAAAAGATGTGCAGTATTGCAACCAGAGGAGAACATGGGTCGTTAATCGTTACAGTGAAATATCTTTGATACCGCGTTGGTTTCCACACGCAAGAATTGAATGTGTCGAAGAGTTGACTGGAGTTCTCTGTTCCTTCAAACACTAGTAGACTGCTGTGTTTATTCATATTCACCTCTTTCCGTCTTCTATTGTCCTTACCTTCCTTCTATATGAGTTGATTGGTGATATATTATTTGAGGAGGTCGTGCTATTGCTAAATCCTTTGTGAAAGAAGGGGGTCAAGAGTCTCAACCACACGGTTCACAGAGGAAGCTTGCCTTTTTCATGAGGCATCTTTGGAGACTATCTTGAGTCAGCATCAGTATTGAATCCCTATCATACATGCACATCAATGCAATACCACAACACACACATGGTGAAGTCTAAAAATGGAAGTAGAGCTCATAATTGAAAAATACAAAGCCAAAATTAAATGTACTTCAAGACTTCACAGCAGTATAAATTGACATTGTTGCCAATTCAAAGTTTTTTGGGCACTTGATTAATGTCCCGTGGAGTTTTGTAGTATCGGTGAAGAAGAGTTATTGACCAGATCATCGAAAGGCAATAAGCTGATTCCTATACAACAAGCGAAATTTGAGTGAGAACTTGCAAGTATCCATGTAATAAAATCGGTGAAAAGACAATCTTTCACGTTCAAAATGATCTCCTCGCGCTATCTGTATTTCAGTGAGCAATTCAAGCAATTTATCAAGCGTCTTGAGGATTCAACGGACATCCAACAGGTAAGGAGACTTGAAGACCTGTTTCATGATTCGAAAGTATTTGGTGTTGATGTGTGTAAAACGGTTGGTCTTATTTGTGAGTAGATGTTTTATATATACATTTCCTGAGATATCGAGGTTTTTATTTGAGCGGGTGGATTTGCTTTGCAAGTGATGAGTAGGTCCCAACTTTTCAGATGTCCTGAAAATAATATATCAGGAGGTTGTAAGATGAAGTTGATGCCTCAGACTTTTTGTTGTGGATTTCGACATGATCTCAAAGTGAGTAAATAATTCAGTTGTCGGAAGCTTTTCTCTCTCGCCACTGCTAAGATGTTTTGTCAAATACCTGAAGCACATTTTAGATGTCAATGGTGGGTAAGGCCATTGGGTTGGATAGGCCCTAGGTGAAGTAGTGCACAGAGAGCTCAATCCGAGTAATGAAGCTTTGTTGGGTAATTTTCAAGTATCTCGCTTAGTCAAACGGGGACCGAGAAAAAAGACCAAACTGCAAAGAAGGATCAAACTACGACAAAAGCAAGACATGATTGGCACCCAGCAAAGCAAAAATTGCAGCCATAACAAACAATTTAGAAATGTACCAATTCATCTTGAAACTCATTTTTAGCATACTATGATTTCAATCCGTATTTCATCGTCAATAGGAATGAATGCAATAGTTTCTTCGAGATCACATTTGAGGATTTCTTCACAAGGTGTGTGGGGTGTAGTGTCCATACCGCCATGTAACGGTGAGAAATTGTAGCTCACTAATAGCTATGATGCATCAAGGTCTGATTGTATAAGGCATTGTAAAGTATCCAGTGTACCTTGACTCATGAGATCCCAATCTACAGGCAACCGTGTAATGATGATTCTGACCACCTCCTTCAGCAAATGCTATTGAAAATAATCAAAAAAAATTGCTACATATAAAGTAAGAAGAACAGAAAAAGGATTGATATAACTCACATTTGATTGGAACAGCAGTACCAATTTCACAAGTCGCAACACGAGATAATCCTTCATGATTTTCATTCATCATTGTAAGCTGTTGAGAAACAGAAATTGCACCACCTGTATTATAAACAAAGGTTAGTATGTATGAACAAGAAGATGATTTGGAATGAATTTATAGCAAACATGATTCACCAAAATTTGTAATCAATGAGTTACCTCCATGAGTTACCTCCAAATTTGCCAATATAGTTTGTTTAAAATGATATAAAATCAAATGTTCTATAAAATAAAAGTGATTTAACAAAAAAAGCAAAGATATTAATTATTTACCTGTACCCATTACGATGCAAGTCTTTGATCTTTTAGTCCTAAATTTTTCACATCTTCTATATCTAATTTGTGTCCTTCCTGGGATCCACATACGTTTTAAGGAGAATTCATTGAAGTTATTATTTGTTCTACTCATTACTCTATATAATCCATCTACAACAGAAGGCAATCTAGTACTCCAATCTTCAGCTCAGTTAATAACATCAATCAATAGTTCATGGTTAAAAGCTTGATGTAGTTTAAGTGTAATACATACAAGTTGTTGAGGAAGATGAATCTGATTGGCTTAGATGTTTAAGTCCATTTTTTAAACTCTTTTGCTAAAACTCAATTATGATTCTCGAATTGAAATTGTTAGAAATCTTCCATGTGGCATGCTTTGTCTAGATTTTGAAAATACTTCCGAGTCTCTTTTGTGAATCTGATAAACACATCTATCTTTTGCATTGGAATCTAGATGAAATCAAAAGTCCGAGGGACTTTCATGTGATTTGCCGATAGCTGAAAATGATTTAATGATTTTTACTGTCCCGTTAGGTCTTGCTGATTGATCTTTTTGTGCTTCGATTATTTTACGTTCACTAGTGAGATGATGAGGAAGGCCAGAGAGACCACCAAGAAGAGTTTTGTACATTGAGACATGAATACGACTCGTTGCCCTTATTGTCGCCTCTCGGAATGTGGATTGATCTGATGTTGAGAAAATTTCAAAGTGTTTAAATCAAAGCTTCTCCAGGCGAGATACTTCTTTCTCAGGACTATGCTGCACAATGGATGAGTTGTTGATCCCAGTACTCATATTACCCACTTCTGGATCGGCAGAGGTAGAGCTGCTTGTCAGCCTGATGAGAAGTGAAGACCACAACGTGAGTAAGCTCCGCCGGATTGGGCCCATTTACATTAACAGCCGAGCAACCACCAGCCCCAGCAGCATCTGAAGTGAGAGGGTATATTCTCTATGTATATATATTCGCCAAACGGTGCACCCACCACAGACTGCGGATCAAGTCTAGTGTTGAATGATAAATCAGAATCAGATTGCCATACTGATAAAAAACAATGGAGAAAAACATGACTACATACCCTGCGACTTTGGTCCAACCTGGACTGCGATACAAGATAGTAGACAAGATGATAACTTCAGGGATAGCAACTTCAGCCGAGGTAGTCTCTGTGCGAGCAAGATGGATTGCTGTATTGAAATCTTGATATAAGTTTTCTTATCGACCGTGATCTAATTATTGTCCTTGACTTTGTGCCAAAGATGAAGAAGTGAGTTCGGCGCAGTCTTCAGACTAATATGCGCAGGAGACTCAGTTAGTTTCTTGCCATCATCATCCATAACCAATACGATATATATTTTTGTTCGGTGCTTTCACTAAGCCATCTCTTGACATAGATGTTCTTGGTTTGATTGTCACTGGCTGTTCTGCTCAGGTCTTGGTTGCAAAAAGAAAAATCCGTTTTAGAAAAGAAAAAAGTGGGTTAAGTTTGGTTTTGTTCATAAAAAACTACTTACCGTACCAAACACGATGAGGCCAATCCAAGTTCACATCCCAACTTCTTCTAATGTGTTGAAATCAATATAGGACTTCGACGCAAGCATGCGACTTCGATGCCAATGCACCAAAAAGGGTATCCATCATCTCAGTAACAATCAAACTGATTTCTAGTAAGTTGGCCATAGCAGTGGAACTATAGAACATCTCATCACTAAATACGACAGGTCCGGATGATCTTGTCATTTCTTGAATGGTATTGCTTTGATCTTGTTGAAATGGTGGTGAATGTCTTCTGACGGAGACCACATGCATTGACAACTGCGATCTAGGCTGTGATGGAGACCTAGAAGTATGTCAGATTGATTCTGAATAATGTGTCGAAACACTTACACTAAGACTACCACCTGCACCTGAACGCATAGGTGATTCCACATGTCTAACAAGAGCCACCTCAAGACTGGTTAGTCTCTTGTTTGTCCGTGCTCGACGAAGTGTCCATTGAGTTATGCTTAAAGTTTCACTTTTGTCTGCAGGAGTCTGTGATAAGCCACTCAAGTTTTGATCAGAGGTTTCATCGAACTGGTCGACCTGAGGTTCAACGGGTGTACGTTGGGTATGGTCCTGTAGTTTACAAACTTTGATAGAGGTGGATCGAATTGGGCTAACAACACACTTATCACTGGTGCTCGAAATATTTCGAATTTGTTGAGTGATGCTACTTGAAATTGTTTTAGGTCCGATAAAGGAGTGGCGAATACGAGAGGATGATGGAGGATGAACTTGAAATGTCAAATCCCTGCGTGGAGCGCGTGCCGTTGATGAACACCTGCGTGGGGGGTACTCTGCTGGATTGTGGGGTACTGCGCCGGCCAAATTCCAAACAAGTGGCGGGAGTGATGTTGTGTCCGCCGATGATGGAGGAGAAATAAAGAATTCTGAAGAGGAGGCCTTAGTTGGAAATTCGGTCAAAGATGCTTGAATGAAGCGAGGTTGAAGTTGATCAAGTTGTGAAGGTGGATGAGGTATTGTGACAGAAGATGTTTGGTTCCGAAATTGGGTGATGGCGTCTTGAATGCGATTAAGTGGAGTCGATAGATCTTCGGCAAAGGCGAAAAAGTAATCACCGGGTACAGCAATTGCGTTGGAAATATTGCTACCCATTGTGTCTGAAGGGGTGGTGACTGTCAAGGCATCAGGAAATGGTTGAGATGATTGTTGATAAGGAGTGTTGTTGGTAGTTGAGTCGCGTCTCTCAATCCATTCGCTTGTCTTGATACGGACTGTCTCAACAAACCGCAATGACTGACATTGTTCAACCTCTTCAATGGTCTCCAGAGGAATTTCAATTTTGAAGTTTTCACCCAAATCTTGACAGGTAAAGACGATTCGTTTGAGAGACTCGATCCATTCTTGCCTTTGCTGACTATCCGTTGAAAAGGTACAAGCCTTATTGGAGACCGCTAATCTGAATTGATGAAGATTCTTCGCATTTGAGAATCTTGGCTCAAATGTTGTACAGTAGCGTGATTCAAGTTGACTGGTAGAAAAATAAGGTTCATAACTCGAAAAATACCAAAATAAAATTGAATCCTTGGGAACAAATTAGCAAGGGTACCTGATGTTCTTTCATTCTACTTCTCCTTATTCTGTTCGTTTTAGATAAGCATGAAAGCAAAGATACCTTGTGATAATCATGCTCATGTTGGCTGATTGAAGAGACGGAATCGGGGTGTGTCGTGAGTGTATGGAAATCTGAATTGAGTTACATCGAGGGAAGCCAGAATGAAGCCAGACTAACAGTTTAAATGCGGATGAAGTGTGAGCAAAGAAGTGTAGATAGAAGTGTCGGTTTGGAGGCGGATTAAAACTGTCTGTTCAAGTAATTGTCTGCCGATTTTATTGAGAAGGAATGTGATTGAAATTTGTTTCTGAGACTGGAGAAGTGCCTTCCTTCAAGACATATCGCGAGCTCCAAAGATCGAGGGGGGCATCAGTCGGTTCAACAATCGTGTCATCCTGAACGCTACTGGCGGGTTTTCTTGTGGCGGAAGTCTTTTTAACCGGCTGTGTGAAGCTTTTCTACTCGATTCAGGCTTGGCCTTGGTCTCTGGGGCACGTATAGCAGTAAAGAAGATACATGGTCCCTTTGTAAGATGAATAGAGCTAAGCAAAGCAAGCAAAATTGAGTCAGGGATCAAAGGGAAGAAATTAGCATTGTCTAGTTTTCACTCACTTGGGATCATCACCCGCTTCCCAATCTGATCCACAGTTTGGCGACGATAGCAACATGATGTGGTTCTCAAGTCTACGGCCTTTCTAGAACGAAATTGGCGCAAGATGCAAGCCGGAGCGGGCCAACTTCTAGAAGCAGACAAGTTGGCCTATTTCAGGGTATTTTCAGTGAAATGAACTAGCTATGGACCAATATACATCAATTCTCGTAGGTAGATCTTCAAGACCTTTGTGCCTCCGTTGACCAGCGTTTCCACAAAATGTGGCTAACCGAGCTTTGATCATCGTGTGTCCTCTAGGTAACCATGCAGCAGTCCGAGTCGGACCCCAAGGTTGTTGAAGAAGATCAGGCCACCCAAGTACATGTGTGTCACGCTGACGCTCTAGAATGGCGATACGTGCGAAGCGACAATTTACAGCTGGGGTTGATGAAGAAGATAGTCAATTTCTGAGAGGTCTTGGTGGTCCAGTATTGCCAAGTTGGAGGCCAAAGTATGTAAATGCTAACCCCATTTGAAATGAACCAACCATGGCTCATCGGTTGCCTCGCCACACATCCAACAAATTGTCCTATCTGGCTCCGATTCAACAGGATCGTGAAAGTGTCCCGCCGAAGCGAGGATATCAGGAGTAAGACTGAATGACTCAGGATGAGGCCACCAAAGGGCTTTCGAGGATGGTCTTCTTGCACTTAAATGTCATCGCTCGAGCGGAATGTGAGCAGATCTCTGGACGATTCACAGGCCGATCTACGAGGTCCGTCTTGATGTTGCAAGCTTTTTGATTCTGGTTCATCGCTTGTCAATGATGGTGATCCACAGGGGTGATTGAGAGTATAAGGACTTCGTAATCGAGGTGCCGGTATTCATGAAGCTTCTCCCGAACGTGGTGGTCCTAGTTGCATTGTAGAAGTGATATTTTCAATGGCTACGCTATGGCGATTTGTTGAAGGCGAGTTTGAAGCTGGTTCTCCAGGGATTGGCGCTGTCAGTAAGACTGAAGCTTACAATGATGCGAAAACAAAATGAAGAAGTCTGGATGAAAATCAAGTAGGTAAAAGAACAAAGATATATAAATAACCACTACACATCCAGCCTCATCCAGCCAACTTCCGAAATCTAGGAACAGCTGGTAATTACATTTGCGCTTGGATCATTCAATTTCTAAAAGCCCATGTTTCTGTCCAGTGATGGTTATTCGATTGCACTTATTGAATCGCCATCTACATACGTGGTGATACAAATTATAACCGGCCGTCATGGAGTTTAGCCATCTTTGTATGTATCTCCCTTGTAAGGTACACGTTGAGTGCTTGTCTGTTGTATCTACTTTCCCTTGTTTTACATGCATCTTACGAAAAAATTCATCTTGTTTACATTATCTCGTTGATACATATCTTAAGCTCTTCTTTTCATCATTGCACATTGCGTAAGTCAATCATCGAACGAGCTTTATGTACCATTTCTCCTTTGTGTTTTGTGTGAATCTAAATGAGATAGATTGTTATCTTCATCAATTTCCATTGCATAAGACTCGCGATTTTGATAGTGGGGTCCATCTTGAGTTTGTCTACAATGGTATTCTGGACAAAAACCAAGAGCACTCAACACCTGAAGGATCGATAGAGGAAATAGTTAGCGGTGGTTTGAGTCTGTCAGCTTTCAAGACAGAAAATGCTTAAATTATGACGCAAATGGTTCGTTGATGGTCAAGATGGATACAGAGATGTCCAGTAAGGTGATTCAAGTGAGAATGGCCACGTCCGCAGAGAGGATGAAGACGACGAAGAGAATGGGATTTTCAACAAACTTACGCTGGACCTAAGTGCTTAGGGGACTTAGTGCAGTTTGGATTTCCAAGAGTATCAAAGGATCAATTGCGTTCATGGCGGAAAATTGAAACGGTCTTGAAAATTCTGTCCAAATTTTGGTTTTTTGCAGGGCGTGGGTGCCCTTTTTTTGTAGACAATCAAAATCCCGTCCCAATTCCGTCACGGAATTTTGATTCTTCTTTGCAGCGTCAAAATTCCGTCCCAATTCTGTCACGGGATTTTGAGACTTTTGGTAATCAAAATTCTGGAAAATGAAAATCAAAATTCCTTACGGAATTGCAAATTATGTTTGAAGTGAGTCCCTTGATCACACCACCGAGGTCCTAATATATTGCAACGTCGATTCAAGATCAACGGACAACCACGAACGAAAGAATCAAGAAAAGAAGACACATTAGAAAGTTAATAAGAAGTTAAATTAAAAGAAAGTTAAATAAAGTTAAATCTGTACTAGGAAGAAAATCCCAAGATTTGAAGAAGTATAAATAAAGTTAAGATCTGTACTAGAAGAAAAGCTCAAGATCTGTCTAACTCCGCAATACTTCACATCATAATTGATTATCCGCAAGCAAAGTTATTCCACCACTGAAACACTCCACGACGCCAGTCTTCGAAGTTCCCGGTGATTCGACTTCCGAGTCGAGCAATCATTCTAGTAAATCAAACGAGGTCTTCCACGAACTCAACGAGAACGTGATGGAACCACAAAATGACCTAACTCTTGCTGAGATCCTCCGGCAATTTAATCAACTATCGGCTCAATTTAATGAAGTTAAAGTCAGCCTTGCTGAAGAGTCGCAAAAGCAACAAGAAGCTGAACGGCGTCTATCTCAATTCGAGACAACCCAAGCTTCCGGAATAACCCCCGAGAATGTTCAAGGGACTGCTGCTACTGCCCCCGCACCAGTCCAACCTGTATACGTGAATCAAACGGTCCAATCACAACGCCAGCCGAAAATGTCAACTCCTGACAAATTCGATGGCAGCAAGGGATCGAAAGCAGAAGTTTTCATGAATCAACTAGGACTCTATATGCAACTTAACAACCATCTCTTTGCCAACGATCAGGCCAAGGTAGCGTTCGCTTTATCCTACACAACTGGGAAGGCGAGCATATGGGGTCAAAGCTTAACCGATCAGCTTCTAGATTCCGAACTCTCTAACTCGGTAACATGGACCAAATTCATCGACTCCTTTAAAGCCACCTTTTTCGACTCCGAGCGAGTATCGAAGGCTGAAAAGGAGATAAGAGACCTAAAGCAAAAAGGAACTGTGTCGGATTATTGGATTCGATTTTCGGAACTGTCATTAGTGATTAAATGGCCTCAACATATCCTGATGTCGCAGTTCGAACAAGGACTAAAGAGGGAAATCAAAGTCTACATGGTCAACACCGAGTTTAATGACACTGAAGGAATGGCGAAATATGCTATCAAATTGGACAACAAATTGAATCGTCATACTGAAACTCACACGCACTCATCGGCACCGTCTACATCAACTCCTGCCCCAGATCCAGACGCTATGGATTGCTCAGCTTACAAATTGAACATAACGAACGAAGAGTATCAACGTAGAGGAAGCATCAAAGCTTGTTACAAATGTGGGAAGACAGGACATTTTATAGCTGATTGTTTTGTGGGGAAGCGTAATAGGCAGTGGAGTTCATCAGGTTTTAAGAGTAGTAATGTAGAAAGTAAATTAAAGGCGAGAATAGCTGAGCTCAAAGGCCAATTAGGGAGTCATGATCATGTTGTAAAAGAAAGTGGTAGCAAAGCCGAATTGTCAAAAAATGGCGATGCTCGGGAGTGAACGTTGTGCCTCCCCTGAGCAAAGAAGAGTTGGGTTTAGAGTTAGGAGATATCAGTAACCTTGAAATGAAAGATACAAGAATCATTGCTAAGTTGCCCCTCCACGACCCCCAATCTGCCACAACCAAAAAGATACGAGCCCTTATTGACAGCGGTGCGACTCACGAAGCAGTGAGTAAGAACCTAGTAAGAGATCTCAAGCTATTCACGACCCCACTACAAGAATCACGAAGTGTGGTGGGCTTCAGTGGAACTGAATCACGAGTCAGTGACACTGGAGACTATTTTATCAATCATGCTCAATCCCCAACGACGTTCATAGTCACCGATTTAAGAGACAAATATGATGTGATACTTGGAATGCCATGGATTAAGAAGAACTACAAAATCATTAACTGGAAAGACAGCAAGTTAGAAGATGAAGCTCACGCAATTGCAACTGTTGAAACAGTTTTGTCATGTCCGAAAAAACCCTCGACGGACCACTCGTTGGAGCCTGAGAGGCATGCTAGGCAAATTGACGAGGGGGTGGAGTTGAAAAACTCACTAACACCCCCGCAATGTAAGTTCGAAAACCCTCCTATTTCTCTACCAAGTGAAGCAGCTGGCAAGTGTTTTCCCCTCCTAGAACACTCATTACAGGAACCACGAATTCAACACAACCACATTGCTACCGCTTCAAGTCTGAAAACAACCTCTGTGGATCAAAAGATACCTATGAGGTATGCTAGGAACGTTGAAGAGGGGGTGGAGTTGAAAAACTCACTAACACCCCCGCAATGTGAGTTTGATACAGCCCAGTCACCATACCCAAAAGAAGCAACTGGCAAGCGCTTTTCTCCCTTGAATGTACAGTCACAGATCAGTCAATCTCTCTTAAGAAGAATCTCGACAAGTCCCAGAAGACCTCTTACGACGACACCGACAGTACGTGGACAACCCTATCTTAGCATCGCGGCAGCCAAAGCATCCTGGAACATGTCAGCAAAGCTAGCGGCTGAAAAGGCAAAGCACATCCCCGAGAAGACTGCCAAAGAACTCGTACCCGAATGCTACCATGACTACTTAGGAATGTTTGAAAAAAGCAACTCGAATGTCCTACCGCCGCATCGTCAATACGACTTCAGAGTAGACCTAGTTCCTAATGCTGTACCTCAGGCTGGTAGGGTAATTCCACTGTCACCGAAAGAAAATGAAGTACTCCGTGAAATGCTCGAAAAGGGCCTGGCAAATGGCACCATCCGAAGAACCACGTCTCCCTGGGCAGCTCCAGTACTATTTACGGGGAAAAAGGATGGAAATTTAAGGCCTTGTTTTGATTATAGACGTCTCAATGCACTAACTATCAAAAATAAATATCCGCTGCCGTTAACTATGGAATTGATAGACAGCTTACTAGATGCAGACAGATTCACTAGCTTAGACATGAGAAACGGATATAACAACTTACGGGTACGAGAAGGTGATGAAGCCAAACTAGCATTTATTTGCAGAGAAGGTCAATTCGAACCTTTAACGATGCCATTTGGCCCCACCGGTGCTCCAGGTTTTTTCCAATTTTTCATTCAAGACATCCTAAAAGCTCACATTGGACGCGACGTGGCTGCTTACCAAGACGACATCTTAATCTATACAAAACCAGGAGAAGATCACGAAGCTAAAGTCAAAGAAATACTAGAAATTCTGAAGGCTCAAAACGTGTGGCTAAAACCCGAAAAGTGCAAGTTCTCAAAAGAAGAAGTGTCTTACTTAGGTCTTATAATATCAAAGAATCAGATTAAGATGGATGCTACTAAGGTTCAAGCTGTGAAAGAATGGCCCGCGCCGCGCAACATATCTGAAGTTCAAATGTTCTTAGGATTTTCGAATTTCTACCGCAGATTTATATCTCAATTTTCAAGAATCGCTAGACCACTGCACGAACTGTCACAGAAGGACGTCAAGTTTGAGTGGACACCAGCCCGACAGCAAGCATTTGATCAACTCAAAGAAGCATTCACCTCGGCGCCTGTACTAAAAATCGCGAACCCGTACAAACCATTCATTCTTGAATGTGACTGTTCTGATTTTGCGTTAGGAGCGGTATTGTCGCAAGTTTCAACGGACGACAACGAGTTGCATCCAGTTGCATTCTTGTCACGATCATTACTCAAAGCAGAAAGAAATTACGAGATTTTTGACAAAGAGTTGTTGGCGGTGGTGAGCGCATTCAAAGAATGGCGGCAGT